TATATATATATACATATATATATATATATATATATATATAAAGTTTGAATGAAATATTCTTTGTCATTTCATGTTGAAAGGAGTGTACATCGCTTTCTATACATAAAAAATCTCCCAAAATTCTTTCTAAGAAGTTGATGTTATTACAGGGTTCATGTCGCTCGGATGAATTACGAACGAAATGGCGCCAACTATTCCCATGCTCGGAACATTATGAGGTAATTGCTTGTTAGTTGAATGGCCTACAACATTAACTAGTAAGAAATTGATATTTCAAAACATGCTCTAAAATTTTCTTTAAGCCATATCCACGACCAATATATTGTCCTGGATTGCTCAAATTTACTTCTGGCGAACTAATTTATACCCCAATGATCTATACACCCGGTATGACATTGCATATTTACTGAGTTACCTTTTCTAAAATACCAGTGATTATAATCAAAATTTAATAGCGTTATTATTATTTTCATGTTTCTTTACTTAGCGGCATATGCATATTTCCATTAATTCAGTTAGTAATATTCTAGCGGTGGATGTTATTTACCAAAGCGCGTCGCCATATTTCAGCGAGTCGTTCAGTGATCTTCTTGAAATTCTCTCTCTGATGATTGGAGAAGATATTAAAATTGTTTACGCTTTTTTTCTAATGTTAGAGATGAAATGCTTAATACCCAATACGTTAGTTTTTTTCGATCTTTTTCCATTCACATTTCTGTTTAAAAAAAAAAGAAAAAATCATAATATTTCGATTTTGTTTACAGATTGAATGACCTCAATGAAATCACAAAAAATTGTGAAAAGTTTACAACTTGTGCTCAGGTAGAGTTGCTGGGTAATGAACCACGTAATGTAAAAGTTGAGATGTGTCGTATTAGTGAAAATGTCGCAAGTGCCGATTTCAAATTTTTGGTGGTTCGTTTTTTTTTTGTATTTTAAAATACTTCATAGTACAAGTATTCAAATCTGCTGGCATATCTGACTTTTCTGTTCTAATTATCTTCAGTTGTAAGTTGTCATTTGCATACAATACATGAGCTAGCTCTTCTTGAGCATGATTGTTTAATGACTATCCACTGCCAGTAACGCGGTAATATACCAAACTTGTTTCTTTTTGTCATACTTCATCTAAATCCTCGTAAGCTAATTAAAAAAAAAATTAAAATTGTTGCATAAAATCAACTTATCACATTATATCTTATTATCTTGACATATATTTGAATATTTCTGTCAAAATTTTCTGAATTTTACAAAAAATTTGAACAAATCTGTTCCAGACACATATCGGAAACATACAAATCGATGAAGAGAACATTTCAAAAACACCGGTGAAACGGAGGAGAGAGAAATCATGTAATTATTTGTAATTTATGCCTTTGCTTGTTTTCTTAAAATTTTTTCTGTGGTTGTTTTTGCTTGCGTTATTAATTGAATCCCAATGTATTAATAATACGTTTAAAATAATAGAGTCAAATGAAATGATTCATGGATAATTTGTAGATAATCTTACTCCGGAAAAACGATCAAAGGAACAAAGACAACTGCTTACAACAAAACATTCTTTGGAACAAACAGACGGTCTAATTCTTTGAAAAATTTTGAGCCTTCTAAAATTATATCTTCGATTTATGTTGAGTAACGATCAATAAACAGCAGTTATTGTAAATTTCGAGACAAAACACTAGTTTTTTTCACATGTACTGTAATGAAAGGTCGATTACCGGCAAAGAAAAATTTATAATCACGTCATTTACAATACAGTTGTACAATATTACGGGTACTTTTCAGATATGAATGAGGAAGAGACTATATTCATGAGGACACGCAATGAAGAATTAACTAACGATTTTGAGCGAATGAAATTATACCCAGAAGGTAGGAATTCATAAATATGACTGCCAGAATTGAATAATAGAAGATATGAAAGTTGGTGTTGTAAACGTCTTCTAGAACAAAAGTAAACAGGAAGTGTTGTTTTAAAGCCTAGACTTTCATATCACTTTCCTGTTGTTCTATGTCATTTTCTTGAGCGAATGAAATTACATCTCACACCTATGTCATTTTCTGGTTGTTCCAGCATCAAATACATTGCTAACGAATAACAGTTGCAATTAAAATAGAAGTGTAATAACAGGGCTATTCATACTTATTTTTCTAAAAATTTACGTTATTGTATTTTGGAAACATATGTCAAATAAAAAGGAACCATTTGCATTTTTATAGGAGAACCATCTGCTAGAACGAATACCAGTTTCAGATCGATATCTGGTGATGATGCAAATACCATAAGTTTAAGCGATGATGGTTAGGTTTTAAATGTCATTTTCCCGTTATTTCAGCGTCAATTATATATTTAATATTTAGCAATGCTTAATTCGCCTTCAAATTACAAAACAATTTTGCAGAAATAGGCGGCACTACTCCACGAAGGCAAAGATATCGGAAGCAAGATTGCATGTCAGAGTTTTCGAAGACGAGTATTTTTAAGAGGTCATTGACAAAGAAGGTGGGTATCTTCTTACATTTCCTGGTGAATTTTTCATAGTTGAAACGTCCTAAAATCCTCCCAATTCTCTCTGACCTAATTTTAAAAAAGTTCGCATCTCGGACATCTTTTATTACTCAAAATGTAGTTTTCTGATAAATTTGCCCACCTTTCCAGATCAAGAGTCGATTCTCAGAGTATTTTAATTTCGAGTTTGAAGCCGCATTTGCATTAGCAATACCAAAATATTGGTAATTGGATTCATGGATGGAAGGGAGAAAAAAATATGGCAGGTACAAAGATTATGTCACGGCCTGGCTCATTTCAAAAAAGAGGCGCGAAAAGAACCTGTCAGTCGTCGGAGAAAAATTTGATTTTGGCGCGGTGCATAACACAGATTGATTTGTGACGGCACTTTCAATTGGTACTTTCTCGAATCAGTTTCTGCATGTTGTTCTGAGTCTTAAATTGATCTTTTGATGGACAACTGTTAAAGCTCATAACATACAAACGAAAAAAAGTGATATTTTTCGTCTTTTCATGAAAAATTACTGTAAAATCAATAAAATTAGATGAAAGTCGAAATAATTACACCCGACTCCATTAAATGTACTACAAAGCAGAGGGATTTTATTCCTTTCACTCGATATGAAAGTTCTGCAGTAACAAAAAATAGACCGCGTGAGTCATTCGTTACACTTACTTAGTGATCGTTTATAGCATACTCCCTTTTATAACAGGGGCCAGCTCCATCTTTTAGATTCGCTGATAGAGTAAGTTCCATCCACTAATTGAGCCAAATAGGGATGTATTCAAAGTCGGTAGCAAATGATATAAGAAGTCAGTAAAGAGATAATGTCGATTACAATGATCAGAAAAGATACACTAGAAAGTATATCACCAGTTTCCATGTTAATTAGCAATCATACATAGCTTGCGCTATGTGTTATGGTTATGGAACATTTGTCTTACAAAAATCATAAGAAACAGGAAATCTTAATAACTATAAAAGACGTCGATTTTTTTATTTGCTTTTTAAGGACTAAACCAAATTACTCCATCTCACATATTACGACACCTTGATTCTACGAGCACTTCTTCCTTATCTGCTTTGCGTTCACCAACCAGGAATCAACCTGATGTCTAATTTTTTTCCATATCACTTCATGGAGAGTATGTCCTTTTTTCCGTAAAATGTTCTATTTAATTTCATCTTTTAAGCATAAATATTATGTAACACATTTCAGCATCTTGAAGGGTACGTTGAAGCTGATACACACCAAAAATTATTTTGTTTTTGATCGATATAACCAAAACTTTAAGAAATTGAAAATACAACATGAATACTTTTGATTCGTTTGGATCGATAATAACCAATCTTGCGTGCAATGATTAAATATTGTAAACCAATGTTTCCATGCATAAAGTGATGGATCATTTATCCGATTTTATCCGATTCTTACCTTCTGGTTTGACAACCAATCTGATGTGCAATGTTTGGAATTAATTCCCACTATATAAAGAGTTGAAGACATCCAGAAAACTCTTTCACTGAGCTCATTCGGTCATCAGCGCGCTACGATTGGTTTCAGCTCTATACCAGACTACAACCTCAGTCAAGTTCCCACCAAATTTCCCTCGCCAGTAACAGCAAAGAACAATCTAGTAATCGACTCTGGTCTTGATATTCTCTAAAAATTGTCTGGTAACGCATATGAAGCACATGAAGAATAAATCCTATTTCAATCAACGAAATCTTTATCACAATTTCCACGACAATATCACATGAAGCACAGCTATACCAGATTAAAACCATGACTGTGTTCCAAACATATAAGTAACCTACGTCGCATTTCCTCTCGATCAGTGATATTCGGCAAATCGAGCAAATTGAAACACGTATGCGCTACTGGCAGTGCTTTCTTATCACATGGCTGTATTCGCATCCTCACTGCTGACATGCCCTTTAAATCAAATATTTTTAGAATTTTAAGAAATTCACTCATGAAATCACTCATGGATTTAAACCTTGTATGCAATGTATAATCAGCAAAATGATACTTTAGCAATAAATGTTGTTCGGAAGATGCCAAATTGTTTTAACCATAAAAGCGAAAATTTTGAATCTTATTACACCATTTCTACCAAATCATTGTGCAACTATTAAAAGCGGAGTTATATTTCTGAAATCTGTGCTTGCTGGATTATGTTAGTAATATGAAAAACCTGAATCGGTATCCTCGTGCTTCCCATTAAAAACTGCAAAAATTTCTTCCTTTGAGCAATATTTAACTCAAAGAAAACTTCCCAGAAACAAAGGACTGCCTCATGTCGTGCGTGATATACCCCTTTATATTCTGCATTCTGAAACCAACGATTTTCATTATAAGCAGCAGAGTGATATGCAAACTCCATTCCAGCTTTTGCAACATGGTTCGGAACCTACAGATAAGGTTTAAATGAAGTCTTTCAAAAGCTGTATAATAAAAGATGCGAAGAGTTAATCAATACTGGCTTATAGCTCTTTCATACTGGAAAAGGGTTAAAAAAACCGTACTCTTCGAAACAGATTCCAATCATAATTTTCATTGCCAACAACCATTTCCATAAGCTCTTGTGGTTGAAAGAAATTCATGATTTTTGAATGCATCACACTTCCGAATCCTTCAGCAAACGAACGCATTTGACGATCTATTTCACCCTCACAGCCTTCTTCCAAGCGTTTCTTTATATAAAGCTAAACTTCTTCAAAAATATATATTGAATTATAAGCAAAACATTTGTACAAGGAAATATGACCATCCCAAATGGAAAGTTAATTTGAATCAAATGAAAATGAAAAAGTCCAGCTTTATATAAAGGAAATACAACTGGAGCAGCTGTAATAACGAATAAGTCACACGATATTTTAAAAATCTCTTGCCCCGGGTTACGAAAACAGTAGATGAAAATGGAAAAACCTGGACAAATTCATGCTTATTTCCTTGATTCACTGGTATTTCTGCACCATTCGTTTTTAATTCGATATCTTTACTGTCGCCCAACAAAGATATAGAAATCATGAAGGTCAAACAAAAAACTTCTTCAACATCATCTTCTTCATAATCCAGAAGACTCCTCAATGATCTAAAATATCGGTAGTGAGCATAAACGTATTAAATGATGTTACATAAGTTGAAAATCAGCTCACATATAGTCTAGTTATATCAAAACGACATATCGTATCGCTCCAGCATGTATTTTGAAAATATGGGTCATAGAGAGTTCAACTATATTAATAAAAAAAAATCATTCCAGCGAGTACGACCATTCTGCTGAATCAGAAGAAAAGTTACCTTCCTTCTGCAGGACTCAATTCGCTCAAATCTTCAAGTTCCAGTGGAAAATCCAAGATTTTCTTATACAAAGCCAAAGGAAATGGAAAATCAACAAGAACACTGTTGTAAATAGCTAAAGCACATAGCATTCCGACAAGTTTAAAGCTCAGTGGATCTGTTTCTACTCCTGAGAACCAAATTAAATGTGATTCTTCATTCTCCGTAAACATCCCATATCTAAAAGCAGTCACTGTGATAACAAATTGGAAGTGAAACAAATTCGAATATTAGCTGATTCTACAGAAGACATAAAACATCATGTTTAGCCAAATAATGGAAAAAGCATGATAGAAAAATATAAAAAACAATATATCAATAATTTAAACACGTAAAATTCCGATGAATCACTTCTTTTTATCCTCTAAAACCTACTACCTCACAATAGTAGAAAAATTAGCAACCCAATATTCTATAACATACTTCGCTTGAAGTAGTTCTTGAAATAGCAACATGAAGAACTCCTTTTTCACACCACCAGCATCGTCTGCTTCTTCACCGATAAAATGAACCTATAGGGAAATAAGGTGTAACAAATTTGCGAGAGTGACATACTGCACATTTTTCATAAAAAATTAAACTTGAACAGTGTAGAGAGAAATAGGAAGAGGGATTTTACAAACGTAGGACAAAGTTCATCAAGCTTATGGTATGCCAAAAAGTACTATATTATTGGCACCGTCAATCAAGTGAATTGAGAGCCTAATGGAGTGGATTAGAAAAATCCCTCGTATGACACCAAGAATTCTGCATAGTAGAGAAGGAACAGCAAACAGGTGCCGAAAAATTATAAGCCTGCTGATAATAGTGGAAAAATTAGCAACTCAGTATTCTACAACATATTTTGCTTGAAGTATTTCGTGAAATAGCAACTGGAAGATAACAAACTGCTACTGAATCACACTTAAGTTCAAATCGTTTGAAATTCTTTACATCGACTGAGGCATACTTTTAACGGTTTTTTAAGATCCATTTCTTTTGATGACAATAATGCAATCATTGCATCGTCAACAATATTATCTCGATGGACAGATAACTCAAAGAATGGATGTGGTTGAAGGGAAATATTGAAGGGCAATATCATAATTCCAGAAGTTGACATGGAGATCTGAAAACAAAACATTGCTCCACGCAAATAAAATCTACCAAAAATAAGTTTTAGGAAGAATAAAACAGGATATTAGTATGTAGAATAGATGGAAGATAAATTACCCGTTTTACACTTGAAGATACAATAAACAATACTGATTGTACACTTTGTAAAAACACTATTTAGAATAGAACATTAAACATAAACAAGCATACCTGCATTTGAATTTGGGCTTCCAGTTGTAATAGATACGTTTTTAATTCCGCATTTAATAAAAACGGATAATTTGACCAGTAGAAAAGGTCTTGTTGGTCCTGAAAATTTTATGTGGTAATACGATCCATATTCATCAGCCAGCATTATTTGAAAAAATATTTCTTATAAAACTCATATTTTCGAAAGAATGGGATAGTTAATAAGTGCGACGATTTGTTGCTATTAAAGGCATTACATTCAACAGTTTGCTCAATTTCACATTTTGCATTACCAAGCTGTGAATCTGCCAACAATAACTTACACCAAATCCCCATCTAGCAAGATCGCTGGCCATATCAACTTTTTTCTGTAAATTTTGCAAGTAAAATTTGTCGTAAGCGATCAACTTCTGAGATCTGTTGATGGCATTCAGCCGTGACAGAATCGAACAGAAAGGAATAACATCAGAAGTATTATTCGGCTCATGCTCCACAAGTTGCTCCAAAGCCTTAACCAGTGCCGATACTAAACGATTAAAATGTCGTCGCTCAAACAACGACCACCACTTCTCTAAAAAAGAATGCTTTTCTAAATAAAAACTAGACCTTCCATTAAAACTAGAAGCCAATATAAGTTTAAGGAATGCAAAAAAACGAGTAAACCGTCTGTTACTAAGAAATAGTCAAGTCACCGTTTACTAAGAAATAGTCAAAAAAAAAATCTGACAACCGACCTAGCACCTTCCTATCTGCTTCGCGGAGAAGTTGAATTGAACGAACAAATGGCAAATGAAGTGCTTTGACAGACGTATACGAAGGTGAAGAAAACAAATATAGTGAAGGAAGAATGAGATAAACTCGAAGGGATTCCAAGGAACTTATTTTTTCCCAAGATAATTCCCACATCCCTGCTGCATCCAAGCTTGTTAATATCTAAAATTTCTTTAACATACCAGAAAATGTGAAAAATTAACATAAGTTAATAAATATTTGAGATTTCAAAAAAGAGGGTGTGGACTAACAAATCTTTTGTTCATTAACTGTGTAAAATCTGCAAACCAATTACTAAATTAGAAACCAAAAAAAAGGTCAAATAAACCGACTATTTCCGCATACTGATCTGCATCGGTATTTTCCGAAATAATACTGGATGCTTGCACGACATGATCCAAATCCAAACAGCTGTTTGAAGCACTACATCGATATCTTTTTTCATTTTCGTAAAGAAATGAGGCATTTATTGAAGATAAAGACGAAAATACAGATTCCAGTTCTCTATAAATACTCTAATAAATATAGAAAAGCTGACTCGCTGGAAATCATCATGAAAGATTGAAGGGAAAGCAGAAACAGAGTATTTATACTTTGTTTTGTAGAATTTTCTTCGAAATCTAAATTATTAAATTAGTTAATTTGTCACCAACCCAATAATAGTTAATTTGTCACCAACTGCGAATAAATCACGAACACGTTGCAAAGACAAATACTTCGGTTTTTGAAGAGAGCTGCTTGGTCCAGAAAGAACTTCCTGAATATTCCTTTAATTCATCCTTGAGACTGCTGTATTACCAACAAACACCTCATCATTTACTTTGCATTCTTAACTTATCCATTTAAATTTTAAGCTTGCATCCAAAAATTTCACAACTAAAAGTCTGTCTACTCTTTTTGAAAACGAAGTAAATAAATGCTTACATACGCATGTTTTGTACGAATCTGCAAGCAGAAGCTTTGATCCCAACCCGCGAACACCGATGCTACATTCTCGACTGAATCAATCATACGCGGTGTAATTTGATTCCGTGTATTTCCATGGCCCAGTTGTCCGTTGCTATTCAACCCAAACGTATGCATCTTGCCATTTGCAACAACGATCGTGTGACATCTAAACAGCCAGTGAATATGATTGAGAAAGAACCAATTTTTGCTTCGAAATTGACCAAAATAAACCTTCCGCAAGCAATTCTCGTTACATGGCTTCCAAGCATTTCGGTGATACCTCTCATACAGTTCTGTGACCTACTTGGCTGACCACAACCCAACTGTCCAAACGAATCGCTGCCACATGAAAATACACGTCCTTCATGAGTGAGTGCAATGGAGTGACTGTCACCACACTCAACTACCACCACAGAATTAATATTTGGTACTTCACGCGGATTAATGACATCTGAAAATATCAAAGTTAATGCCAAAAATGTCTCGAATTGGTGGGAAGATCCACAAATTTTTCTTTTTTTGTTCAATATTCTCTTCTTCTTCTTTTTTGACAGAGATTGAGAGACTTAACGAAAATCAGCAGAAGTTAAACTTCAAAAAATGTCTTTCGAATCCACGGCAAAATGCAAAGAAATAAAATGGATTTTGATTGACTGCCTTTCACATGTTTTTTTCACATTCCTTCCCGAACTCACTGCATCATTTTCTTCAAGTCCTAAGGCCCAAAAGCAAACGCACCTCTGTTTGTAAAGTTTCCAAGTTGTCCTTCTTCGTTCCTTCCCCAAGCAAATAACGTTCCACTTGCTGTTAAGGCCATTGTGAACAAATTCCCAGCACTGACTAAATAAAAACACTGACGTTAACATAAGAACAAAAAATAATTTAAAAATAATATAGACATAACATTATACAATTTAAATCACAAGAAATTTCACTTACTCTGAATAATAGGTACAGAAACGAATAATTCAACTTCAGCAGGGGAATGTCGTATTCGCCCATCAGATTGTTGTCCCCAGATAAATACTCGACCACCTGAAAAATTTAGCAGTAGCCTATTAAAGTATGAGATTTCAATCTGACTAAAAGCAGAACTTGCCTCCATTTAAGGATACTGTATGAGATGCTCCACAAGCTACTTGAACTGTTTCTGGCAATGATGGAACACGTCTGGAAAATTTTAAATAGTTGTGAAATAAAATAAACAGCATGGAGAGCTTTCATGCATACAGTAGGATAATGAACAGCATCTATTTTTATTGCCCACAAACATAACCATATATATATATATATATATATATATATATATATATATATATATAATATATATAT